GCATACACATACGAATCTGCAAGGCACACGTCGCATACGTCCAAACATTTTTGGTCCTTCGAGCCGGATCTATCCGGGAAATTCATGACTGTTCGAGTGATATCTATCGAGGCTTATTGGAGGGTGAGATCACATGAAATTTAAGATAACTAAATTATTGAATTTCAACAGCGGCAGTGCTCGTTTAATCATACAAATCGGGGCGAGCCGACCGTTGCAACGTACGAGAGAGAGAGAGAGACAAACGTGATCACGAGGCATTCACGAGGTATACCCGAGGCATCGCAGAGGATAGGCTTGCGGCTCACGAGAGCAAGAGAGAGACATCAATACAACAAGGCAAGACCACAGTAGACGTCGTCGAAAGCATATCGACGAAATTCCAAAGCGTATTTATGTTTGCGTATCTATTGTCACCTCGAGGCGTAATGTTATATTTGCGTTAACCACAACCTTCGTATTATATTTCGTTCTCGTTATAAATTTATATTACGAACACGATGGCTGACGAGATTCGCGCACTCATACAAAGACGTGCTACAATAAAAGCGCATTTAACTGGATTTAACAGTTACTTAGAAAAATGGTCTGAATGTCCGGACAAGCAGCAATTAATAGAACGTTTAGAAAAATTTAAAAATACATGGGATAGCTTTGACGAAGTACAGACTAATATTGATTTGGTAAATGCGACCGCCACTGGCGCACAATCGGACGATAACGAAAGAGCGATTTTCGAGGAATCATATTTCCAACTGGCCGCGCGTGCCCAGCGTCGACTTGCGTCCGTCAGGCCCCCCACGGCTAATGATGATGTAGCGACTGTCCAAAATCAGCCCGTACAGAACGTATCTGCGAATATAAAGCTTCCTACAATTAATTTGCCCACTTTTAGTGGCAATTACGAGGCATGGTTAGGTTTTTATGACAATTTCAAATCCATCGTACATGACAATGCGAATCTTACCCCTGTTCAAAAATTACAATATTTGAGATCATCGTTATCAGATGAGGCCGCGCAGGTAATTCAATCTCTAGAAACTTCCTCTCAAAATTACGAAGTAGCTTGGGCTCTTATAGTGGAACGTTATGACAATATAGAAGAATAATAATTCAGAGCCACATTCGCGCGCTGTTTGACCTTCTAGTAATATCTAAGGAATCTTCAACACAATTACGATCTTTAGTTGATGCCGCTTTAAGACACACACGAGCACTTCATGCTCTTGGTCAACCGACGAAATCTTGGGACGCGTTGCTGTTTCACTTGTTAACATCGAAACTCGATCGAAATACTCACAAAGAATGGGAGCGCTCTCTTGACGGTACCGATATGCCGTCTATTGACGATTTTTGGAAGTTTCTAAAGAATCGTTGTCACGTTTTGGAAAGCGTAAGTCAGGAGGTCTCAGTGTATTCGAATCAATTGGCAAAGAATCAAGCGAGATCAAACAATATGCGAGGTAATCAAAAGACGCGACAGGCTCTTGTAACCGTGCATACTAAACTCGAGTGTGCAATCTGTAAGCAGAACCATAACACATTTCAATGCGAACAATTTCTCAAAATGAATCGTGATGCGAGATTTGCCAAGGTGAAATCTATGGGGCTCTGTTACAATTGTTTAAGACCAAATCATTTGGTTGATGAATGCAAATCAGGTACATGCAGGAAGTGTAAGCGTAAACACCACACTCTTCTTCATTCAGAAGGTGAATCATTTGATCGGGGTTCTGGTAGCTCTAACGCAGCAAACGCTAATCCAATCGCGAGTCTCCAGGCGGTCGTCGCCTCGCAGGTTCTTTTGGCTACGGCATCTGTGCGTATGCTAAATAATCGCGGAGAGCCCATCAAGTGTAGAGTTTTATTGGATAACGGATCTCAGTCTAACTTTGTCACGGAGAAGTTATGCAATAATTTAAATCTCGCAAAGAGAGAAGTTAGTATTCCGGTGTCGGGTTTCAATCAAAGTTTAACCCATATTAAGCATTCTGTTACGACGACCCTCCAGTCAAGGGATGGACGCTTTGCTGCGGAATTGTCATTCTTGGTGGTACCTCGAATCACGGAAACGCTTGCTGCACAAACGATTAATCGTTACGTTTTAAATCTTCCCCGAAATGTCACCTTGGCAGATCCCGAATTCTGTACTCCGTCGGAAGTTGACGCCCTGATAGGAGCCGAACTCTTTTACCAGTTGTTATGCGTAGGTCAGATAAAATTAAGCAACTCTGCTTTAATACTTCAGAAGACACGGCTAGGCTGGATAATTTCGGGAGCAATACATAGTCGGGAGTCTGCGTCGAATCGAATTGCGTGTAATCTAGTAGTAGACTCTTTGGATGCCCAAGTCTCCAAATTCTGGGAACTTGAGGAAGTTTCGAGCGTTAAACATTTGTCCAAGGACGAAGAAGCATGTGAGAGGCATTTCTCTCAGACGTACTCTAGGGATGAGAGCGGGCGATATATGGTTAGGCTCCCGTTTAATCATAGAAAGCACGAGCTGGGCGACTCTTATCAAATAGCGAAAAAAAGATTGTATTCACTCGAAAGAAGATTAGCACAGGATCCTCAGTTACGCGAGGAGTATACGGATTTTCTTGACGAATACGAAAGGCTTGGTCATATGATTGAGATCTCTGCTTCCGACGTGAACGAAGATGGATATTTCATCCCACATCACCCCGTCTTCAAGCGCGACAGCCACACAACAAAATTGCGGGTTGTTTTTAACGCCTCATCAAAGAGTAGCAGTGGGGTGTCGCTCAGCGATGTGCTTCTCGCTGGCCCGACCCTTCAGGAAGACTTGTTCTCCATCGTTACGAGGTTTCGGACCCATCGATATGTACTGACTGCCGACATCAAAAAAATGTATAGGCAGGTCAGAGTTCATCCCGGGGACGTCAAGTACCAGATGATTTTATGGCGCAAAGGTCCAAACGATCCAATCAGAATCCTCGTTTTAACCACGGCGACCTATGGTACCATTCCGGCTTCGTTTCTCGTCGTTCGATCTTTGCAGCAATTATCCAAGGACGAGCGAAGGCGGTTCCCGCTGGCATGCAGGGTTCTTCTTGAGGATTTCTACATGGACGACGCTCTTACCGGCACATCAAATCTCGAGGAGGCTCAAAGGTTACGTGATGAGCTTATCGAATTGTTGGCCTGTGGTGGATTTCATCTACGTAAATGGTGTTCGAACGAGCCGAGTCTTTTGGAACCCCTATTGGACAAATCCATGGATCCTCACATTTGCTTAAGCGAGTCTGAGACTCAGAAGACCCTCGGCATCCATTGGCATCCCCGTGACGATCAGCTAATACACGTCGTGAAACCGTTTACTGAATATCAACGAACGACAAAGAGAACCATGCTTTCTCAAATCGCTTCTCTGTTCGACCCTCTCGGATTGGTCGGTCCGGTCATAGTAAAGGCGAAAATTTTGCTGCAGCAACTGTGGCAGAACAAACTGGATTGGGATGAGTCTGTCCCGGTGGACATTGCTACCTCTTGGAACCAGTACAAGGAGCAAATCGAGATTCTAAATAATTTCGTCATTCCTCGCCAAATCACAGCAGAGAATGTAATCAACATCCAGTTGCATGGCTTCTGTGATGCAAGCGAAAAGGCTTATGGAGCCGTGCTATACCTGAGATCTACAACTTCCTCAGGAATTCATATAGTTCGATTGGTCTGTTCCAAAACGCGGGTGGCGCCTATCAAGAGATTGACTTTGCCCCGGCTTGAATTGAGCGCGGCGGCTCTTCTTGGAAAACTGTATAAATCTACCATCAAATCAATCAGAATTAATTTAGACGAGGAGTTCTTTTGGTCGGACTCTACGATCACGCTCCATTGGATCCAAACCTCACCACACAAGCTAAAAACCTTTGTTGCAAACAGAGTTTCGCAGATCCAAGAAAGTACTAAGCACGGAAAGTGGAGACACGTGCCGTCTCAGGACAATCCCGCAGACGCGTTGTCAAGAGGACAGTTTCCCTGCGAATTCGTCAACAACCCCATTTGGAAAAATGGTCCGGTTTGGCTGTCTAAGGATGAAGCTGCTTGGCCGTCGAATTTAATACCCAGTATTGAAATTCCGGAACAACGCTCAATAGTTGTCTTGTCAAACGTTCACGTTGTCGATACGGATCTACTTTCAAGATTTTCATCTTTTGCTAGAATGAAAAGGATCATAGCGTACTGCATACGTTTTGCCTCCAGGTGTCGATCCTTGAGGAACGATTCGGAAGACCTCAGCACTGAAGATTTGAAGAAAGCCGAAATGCGTATTGTAAAATTAGTTCAAATCACCGCCTTCGAGAGCGAGTTACGTAGTTTGAGTCAGAAGCGTCCGCTAGATAAGAAAAGCAATATATTGTCGCTCAGCCCGTTCTTGGACGACGATGGAGTACTTCGAGTCGGGGGTCGTTTGAGACACGCGGATCTGAAGTTCAGTCAGAGGCATCCTATTTTGTTACCTTCTAATAATCATATTACAGAATTGATAATTCGCGAGACTCATGTTAGGCTTTGTCATGCCGGAAGTCAAGCAACCTTGTATGCGATAAGAGAAAAATATTGGCTGTTAAATGGTAGGAATCGCGTTAAGGGAGTAATTCGGAAATGTGTGATGTGTTCTCGCTGGAGGCCGTCGACCCCTCAGTATGAAATGGGCAATTTGCCAAAGATTAGACTAGTAAGCTCGAGACCTTTTGAAAACGTCGGCACCGACTTTTGCGGTCCGTTCTTAATTAAGGAGAAAAAGTATCGTAACCGCAATAAGATCAAGATTTACGTCGCTGTATTTGTGTGTTTAGTTACTAAGGCTGTTCATTTGGAGATTGTGAGCGATCTGACTACTGAAGCGTTTGTAGCTTGTTTGAAGCGCTTATTCGCACGCCGTGGCAGGGCTCGGGTCATTTGGTCGGACAACGGTACAAATTTTTTGGGCGCGAGTAATCATTTGAAAGAGATATTCGAGTTTTTCCAGGAAAGGGAAAATGAGCAAAAAATAAATCGGTACTTAGTAAATGAAGGAATACAATGGTCCTTTATACCTCCCCGCTCACCGCATTTCGGGGGAATTTGGGAGGCTTCCGTGAGAGGTTTCAAACATCACATGCGTCGTATGGTTGGAGATGCCCTATTCACATTTGAAGAATTCAATACTTTTGTAATAGAGGTAGAAGCAATATTGAATTCGAGACCTCTCACGCCCATGTCGTCTGATCCGAATGATCCGCTTGCCTTGACACCAGCGCACTTTCTGATTAATGCGTCTTTACAAAGTATTCCGGAATACGACCTTACAAATGAGAATTCAAATCGCCTTTCGTCATGGCAACATATTCAAAAGGTAAAGCAACATTTTTGGAAGCGTTGGAATAAGGAGTATTTAAACGAGCTGCAACAGCGTACCAAGTGGGTTTCGAATAAAGCGCATAATATTAATATAGGAGATCTTGTAATTCTCAAGGAGGAGAATGCTCCTCCGTTACGTTGGATCACGGGCAGAGTGATAGCTACTCATCCTGGCGATGATGGTATAGTTAGAGTAGTGACGGTTAAAACAGCCCACGGTGTATATAAGCGATGCGTTAAAAAAATATCTCCGTTACCCATTATAGCATAAGAATCGAGTCAGTTTGTGTTTTTTTTGTTTGTCGTTTCTATCGTGTATTCTTTTATTCCTATGACTAGTTCATGTTGAACGTATATCCGTTCAAAGGGGGCGGTATGTCTAGACTTCGTGTAATATTGTACGGCCCTGCGCCATCGTTCCCC